ACAAAGAGACACAAAATAACTACAAAGAGACACAAACCTTCGTTGCATTTTATCACCACAATAATCGTCTGTTTTTTAACTGCAGGAACTTTTGTGAAACTGTTTTCGTGCAGAAAACTTCAGACTCCAGATTAAATAAAAGACGATTATATATAACAATGCTGTGATGTGTGGGACTGGATGCTGATGAGTTAAACTCAGAGAAGACAACAAACTTCATTTTTCTGTTTTCTCAGTGTCATCTTCTGCATCAACTATTTAAAATTCTCCACATAAACTTCCACTGTTCTGTTTCCTACAAAGAACTACAGTTAAATCCAGTAACTTCTGTTGGTTCCTGCTGTGGAAAGTCACCTTTTGTTTAACAGGAACTTTTCTTGCATGATTTTAAAAACTTCATTTCCAACAAACAGGCCTTTTAGTGAACTCAGGAACTTTTCTTCCTACATTTCCACCACAGGAACCTTTTCAGGAACCTTCATCTGCTTTTCAACAACAGCAGAAACTCAGAAAAGAGCAGCTTTATCGTTTCGTTGTTTTGTCAAACAGCTTCGGCTGAAAGTTCCTCAAAAGCTTGTTTGTTGCTTCATGGAAGTTCCTGCAGCAGAAGTTCTGCATGAGTTTACTTCTGCTGCCTGTCGGCTAAAGTCACAGAGCATGAAACAGCAGGATGTGTGCAGAGGACAGGAGAACATGAATCCAGCAGCAGCTTCTGGTTTCTTTACCCACCTGACATCTTCATGTTGCTTTTCTTCAGTTCAGCGACCAGAAGTCATGAAACACAGTTTAAATCACAGTAGAGTTGGTCCTGAATGACTCTAAAGATCACGTGTTCTCTCACTTCCTGGTTGACATCCCTCCTGCTCTTTGTTGTTTTTTTGTTCCACATGAGTTTCCCTCCAGAACCTGCTGTACTTCCTGTCTGACCTGCAGGTGACGTGTTTCCCAGAGAGGCCTGCAGGGGGCGCTGCTGGCTGCACCACACAAGAGCTGAATGAACCAAAACTAATGAGAGCAGATCATATTAAAGCTTCAACATGCCTCATGTGTGTCTTTGCAGCTGATTTGTGGTCATTTGTTTTGTTGCTTTGTGGTTATTTTTACTTGTTTTGCATCTTTGCAGACGTTTTTAGTCATTTTTGATCCTTGTGAGTCACTTTTTTGTATTTTTGTCTCTCTGTGGTCATTTTGTTGTCATTTAATTTATCTTTATGGACGTTTTGTGTGTCTTTAAAGTCACTTTGTGTCCCTTAGTGGTTGTTTGTGGATGTTTTCTTTCTTTGTAGTCGTTTTGTGTCTCTTCTATGGATGTTTACCTCCTTGTAATTTTGTGTGTTTACATTTCTTTGTGGATGTTTTGTGTCTTTGCAGTTATTTTATGTCTCATTGTGGTCATTTTGCATCACTTCAGACTCAGTTTTCTGTCTTTGTGGTCATTTTGTGTCTCTTGTGGATGTTTTGTCTCCTTCCTTCTACTAACGTTGTGTTTCTTTGTCATCTGTTTTTGTCTTTTTGTCGTCATTTTGTGTCTCTTTGTCATCTGTTTTTGTCTTTTTGTCGTCATTTTGTGTCTCTTTGTCATCTGTTTTTGTCTTTTTGTCGTCATTTTGTCGTTTTTTTTGTAGCCATTGCATTTGTATTTGTTATTTTGTGTCTCTTTGTGGTCATTTTGTGTCTCTTATGGGATCTTTTGTTTCTTTGTAGCTATTGTGTGTCTCTGGCAATTTTTTGTCTCCTTGTGGTAACTTTGTGTTTCTTTGTCTTCAGTTTTTGTTTCTTTGTTGTACTTTTGTTTCTCTTTGTGGTCATTTTGTGTTTCGTTGCTGTCATCTTGTGCCTCTTTTTTGTAATTTTTTGTCTCTTTGTAATAATTTCTGCAGTACTTTTATCTCTTTGTGTTTATTTTATATTTCTTTATATTTAGTTTTAGTTCTTTTTGTAGTATTTTTGGTCATTTTTTGTCTCTTTGTCATCAGATTTGTCTCTTTGTAGACATTTTTCTTTGTCTTTTTGTAGTAATTTTGTTAATATTTGTTATTTTGTGTCTCTTTTTTAGCTATTTTTTGTGTGTCTTTGTGATCATTTTGTGTCTCTTATGGGATGTTTTGTGTCTTTGTAGTTGTGCTGTGTCTCTTTGCCATTAGTTTTTGTCTCTTGGTAGTAATTCTGTAGTATTTTTTTATCTCTTTGTGTTTCTCTGTGGTCACTTTTATTTATTTTGTTGTAAGTTTTATCTCTTTGTGCTCATTTTCTGTTTCCTTGCTGTTTCCTTTTGTTCCTCTTGTTGATATTTTTTACTCTTTGTAGTCAGGAAAGCCAACAGAAGCTCTGATCCGGCCCACCAGGTCTATCTGCAGGTGTCTCCATGAGCTCCAGACTGTGTGGGATCAGACCATCTCCTGGTTCTTCACGTAGCTGCAGCAGGAACGTTCTACACCAGCCGGCCTCTGCTCTGACCTGCAGCCTTCATTGTTGTGTGTCTGTGTGGCGCGTTGGTCTGGCATTAATTAGAGAGCGGGGTGTTGCTGGTGTGACACTGCTGACTGGCCTTTCACAGCTCATTACACGGTGTCCAATCAGGGCGCAGCGACCGTGACCGCTGTTTATTTATCCGCAGAGCTGCAAAAACGGCAGAATGTGGGCGACTCGTACGCTGGAACAGTCCGACACATTGTCCTGCTGCACCCGGTCCATCAACGGTGCTGCTGCAGAAACATGACCGGGACCGGAGCTGCTGCAGCTTCGTCAGCACCGAGGAGGCAGATTTCATCCGTCCTAAAGTGTTTACGTGGAAACAGAAACACAAAAACCTCACGTTGTTTACATCCACGTCAGGTCCTAACTCTCTGTGGTCATTTTGAAGTCAGTTTTTTGGTCGTTGTTTGTCTTTCTCGTCACACTTGTTGTTATTATTATTGTTTCAAAATGTAGTTTTCAAAATTAAAATGTCAGTTTAGAATTTCATATTGCTTTCTAACTTCATGTCATGACTTTTGTCCTTTTGATTTCTGGTCAGGCCTGTATTTCATGGTGTGTTTATTGCCTTTTTGTAACTCTATAATACTACTTTTTTTTTTTCTAATGGTGCTTTTTTCTTCTTTTTTTTTTTGTAATATCATACGTCACTTTTAAATTAAGTGGATTTTTTTTCTATTTTTCATGACACCTGAAACAAAAGTTGATCACAACATAACCACGTTCTTTCATAACATTTAAATATTATTTCCCAAATTGTTGGCTAATTTACATAATCTGCAGCATTACTCCTGGGATTACTGACTTTCTTTTAAATTTTTTGTCATTTTGAACATTACGAGGCTTCGTTTTCTTTCCCCTGCAGCTCAGATTCCTGTAAAGATGCAGATGTTTGGAGCAAATGTGGTGCAAATGAGATTCAAGAAGGACACACAGATCAACGCTTTGGGTCAGAGGAGTGTTTAAAGATGGTCATCATGACGAAATAAAACACTGCTTCATTCTGCACAGAGTCTCAGAACATGTCGGGAAGGCGTGACGCGAACTCAGAGCTCATGCAAAGGGATCAGTTAAAACGCTGCATGAAGCTCCAGAGGAATCATTTACATTTACACAAACGCTGCACAGAGGCGATGAAACTACAGTCAGACATCTAGGTCACGATGCACCGGTACATCTACTGCGTCTACAGCTACAATTACAGACCCACGATTAACAAACGGCGGCGATTCGCACGACACACACGGAAATATACAATATTTACACGATAACTTCATTGATTACATCGGTTTGAAACGGGGATCAAGCTGCCAGAGAGTGCATCAGCCTGGCGTTCACGATATACTCCCACTGAGAAAGGCTTGGATTGGAAACACAACGCTGCCCCGCAGTGGCAGGATTAAGTAACACAACAACTACACAGTTCAGTCACTCACTTTTACACGTGTTTGATGCTGTTGGCACATGCGAGATAGACACACATGCAGCAGGATTCATGCTCAGCTACGCCGCTAGCATCACTATTTAAACCCGTCACTAAAACCACAAAACGGCCACGCGGTGAAGTTAACCAGCAGGGGGCGGAGTTACAGAGTGCATTAGTGTTTGTTCGGGCATCGGAGGGTAAAGACGAGGATTTTTACTTCCATGGAAGGCACTTTGGACGGAAGAGGAGTCTCTAATGTTCCCCAAGATAACAATAAAGTTTTGGATTAAAAAAACCTAAAATTGTAGAAGTGTGGCAGGTTTAAAGTGGCAAAAACGGGATGGAAATATGTGAAGCTTAACTCAGAAGATGGTTAGCTTAGCTTAGCATAAGTTCTCTTGTCACTTTCACATTTTGCTTTTTATATAAATTAAAAAAGAAAAAAAAGAAGAATTTGTGTCAGTCAGTGAGGTCCTGGTAGGTGGACAGAGCTAGGCTAGTTGCTTTGTCTCCCTGCTATGCTAAGCTAACCATCCCCTTGCTGCTGCTTCATGTTTAATTTCCACACATGTGAATGAGTCAAATATTATGTTCTACTCCCACAAAACGCCAAAAAAAACCTGTCAAATATAAATGTGTGGCGGATTTCAAATAGTGAAAGTGGGACTGAAACCTGTAGCTCAACATTGGAATGACTGATATAAAGGAATCTAGAACAAGAAGACAATTAGCTTAGCTTAGCATAAAGTCACTTCTTATTTTTCTATTTTGCTTTTTTAATTAATTAAACAAACATAATATGTCCTAATCAGGTGCTGGTAAGACAGTTAAGATTTGGAAAAAAACAGGCTAGCTGTTTTCCTCTATATCCAGCCTTTATGCTAAGCTAAGCTAACAATCGCCTCGCTGTTGCTTTGTGTTTCGATTACAGGCATGAACATGATTCAAAGAATCATTATTCCCAAACAACAACATAAAATCACTAAACTATAAATGTGTGGCAAGTGAAAACAAATGGAATGGAACATTTAGCCAAAGATTGATTGTTTTATATGAAGCTACATTCAGAGGACTGCAAGTTTAGCTTAGCATCATATCACTTGCACTGAAGTCACTTGTGACTTTTGTATTTTGCTTTTTGTATGGCTTATACAAGCTAAATTTGTGTTGATGAAGACGCTTTAGAGGTTGATGGTAGACGGATTTTGTCACCAATGAGCAGAGCTAAGCTAGCTGTTTACGCCCTGATACCATTTCTATGCTAAGCTAAGCTAACCATCTTGTTGTACAGACATCAAAATCATTTGTTTTCTTTTCAGTAAACACAAAATTGTAATCGTGTGCCACGGTAAAAATGGCAAACTGTGATTGAAACCCAAAAGACTGATATTAATTTCTGTTTCATACAAAGCTACAGCCAGAAGACAGTTAGCTTAGCTTAGCATACAGTCCCTGGCATTGAAGTTACTTTATTGTAACTTGCTAGGGCAAGTTCTTTACCCTGTTTCCGTCTCTATGCTAAGCTAACTGTCCACTTCCAGTTACTTTATACTTAGATTACAAACATTAGCAGGGTTCAAACAAGAAATCTTCTCCCTTAAAAACACCAAACTGTAAATATGTGTGCCAGGATAAAAGTGGCAAAAATGTAAAACTACAGCCAGAAGACAGATTAGCTTAGCATAAGGACTATCGGAGGTTTAACATGCTATATCTTGTTTGTTTAATCCCTGCAGAAACTGCTCATTATTATAATTAGCTTGTTAGTCATTTACCCTGTTTCTGTCTAAGCTAAGCTAAGCTAAGCTAACTGTCCCATAGTTGTTGCTTCATATTTAGTTCACAGACAATAGATACAGATCTGTTAAAGAGAATGCATGCAGAGTAGATGTCAGTATTAAAGTTTGATTATGTCAGAGCTTTGTGAGTTTGCTAAACGTGATGCTAAAGCGACAAAAAAAAAGAAAAGAAAAGAAAATGAGTGTAAGGGAGTTTTTAGGCATTAAAACTGACCTGACAACACCTGAACAGCAGGTAAAAGCACATTGAATTCTTATTGCCGTGTGGCAGTGTCACACCACACTTATAATAAATATGTTCACCGAGGAAACACAGATTTAAACAGCATATAGGATACGTAACATCTGGGTATAATGTATAGAGCCACACGGAGGCTGCTCATTGAGACTGGACGGCTTCGCTTCATGCTGCTAGTAACTGTGGTGTTGCTGTGAAGCGGGTCACGGGCGGTACAGATGCTGACGTGTTGGTGTATTATTGCTGATTTCAGGACGCGGTGCTGATGTCTGCTACAGATGTGGCACAGTTCAGAACAGCAGGTTGGTTTTTCAGCCGTTGGAGGGAAACCGCTGATGTGTGGTGTGCTGTCAGATTGTCGTGTGTTGATGCGCAGCCCGACGTCCTCCTGGTCACTCCGCCGCCATCTTCTCTATGTGGTCCGTCAGCAGCTTGTACTGTTCTGCAAATGGATGAAAGTTCCAATTTAAAGCTGCAGTTTTATGTAACAGGAACCATCTTCATGTGGTTAACATGCAGCTAAAAGGCAACATGTTGCATCTGAAACAGAAGCTAACAGCAGACAACGAGCAAACTGGAGCAAAATGACGCTAACAGAAGCTAACTAGAGCCAACTGGAGATAACTGAAGCTAACAAACGCTAACAGGAAATACCTGGAGGGGATGGATGCTAACCAGAGCAAACTCGAGCTATGTGATAACAGGTACTAACAGAAAATATCTGCAGTTAACATCAAACAACTGGGCCTAAAAAAAGCCAACACAAGCTAACTGGAGCTAGCAGAAGCAAATGGCAGCAAAGAGGAGTTAACAAGAGCCAAGTGGAGGTAACAGGTGCTAACAAATGCTAACAGGAGATAGTAAAAAAAAAAGCAAGAAACAATTGGACCTAAAAGGCCCTAGCAGGAGCTAATCAGTGCCAAAGGGAGTTGAATGGAGCTAACAAAAGCTAATAGGAGCTAACAAGAGCAAACTCAAGCTATATGACACTAATAAAAGCCAACAGGAGATATGTGGAGCCAACAGGAGAGAACTGGGCCTAAAAGAAGCCAACACAAGCTAACAGGACATAACAAGAACCAAATAGAGCTAGAAGGCCCTAAAAGGAGCTAATCAGTGCGAATGGAGAGAGTCGAATGGAGCTAATAAAAGCTAACAGGAGCTAACCAGCGCAAACTAGAGCTTTTAATAAAAGCTAACGGATACTAACAGGCAATATGTGGAGCCAACAGGAACTAGCTGGGCCTAAGAGAAGCTAACAGGAGATAGCAAGAGCCAAATGGAGCTAGAGGCACAGGAGCTACCTGTGGCTAACTGGAGCGAACAAAAGCTAATGGGAGTAAGCGGAAGCTAACAGGAGATACCTGGAGCTAACAGGAGCTATATGTACTGCACAAGAGCTAATAGGAAATATCCAGAGCTGCCAGAAGCTAATAGAAGATAATAAGTGGTAATTGTAGCCGGCAGATGCTAATAAGAGCCAAACAGAGTTAAATGGCAGGAGCTAACCAGCCAACCTTTAACCCTGTAAAACTCCAGTAGGTGATTTACATCTAAAATCCAAAGCAAATAACTGAACTGAGAGCAGCGTTACCTTCATTCAGGTTCCCGATAACCGCCTGCTTCTTCAGGAAGTCGTTGCAGAGTTTCTTGCTGAGGCCGAACGCCAACATGTTGTGAGTGAACGTCCTGAAAACACAAACGGAACCGAACACATGTCAGTAAACGAAAAATAGACCAAACACGCTATAAATAATCTGCTTTGAGGGTCTGGATGAGGGATTATTTGATCTACTTCTACAGATTCTGAATCAACGGCATGATGATTTCAAGTTTTTATCTTTAATAGTTCCTCAGATATTGTTGTTCAAACAGCCTGAAATCACCACCAACGACATGAAGACATCATCATTATTATTAGTAGTACTGATGTGTTTGGTGGTGTGGATCATTTCCTGCTTTAATATCTGGCTTTCAGGTTAAGCAGTAGGCTGATTAAATTACCTTTCTATCAGTGTGTGAAGGTTAACAGGTTTATTGTTGTTAATGGAGTGCCTCAGGGCTCCGTACAGGGTCCTCTTTTATTACCTCTTTAAATAACGAAGGTGTTTATACTCATAGATGATAAAGCTGTGCAGCGTCGATCACAGAGCCCCTTCACAAAATATAATTTAATATTTAAGAGTCTTAACTGAAGCTTGTTTTGAATGCAGACAAAAATTAACCCTCTGAACTCCAATTTTATCTAGAATTTGACTCATCATTGAAAAAGCAGGTCGTCCTTCAATGTTCCTGAGATATTGTTGTTGAAAAAGCCTAAAAATGTTAACGTGAGAAAAACCTGCTGAAAGTGGGTCAACAGACAAAAAAAAAAAAGCTTAATATATATTCGTCTAAAATTTTACATACACAAGTTGAAATATCTATATTTTATAATAAAAAAAGTTTCAGCAAATCAGAGATGATGGAGCAGAAGGACCCTGATGATTTAAGAAGAAATATGGTGTAATGTCGCTTCTCTTGGAGTGTCTTAAAACTAAAAATGAAAGTTTAGCTGCTAAATGTCTCAAGGTTAACTCAATAACAAAAGAGCTCCGAGCCGACTGAGTGTTTAGACGGAGGTGGAATCACCTGCCGATAAGATTGAAAGTGAAGATATTAATCAGGTATCAAAGATAGCTGGTGACTAAAATCAACAGATGGGCTCCCAGCATGAGGAAACGACACATTAATCATTACTGAATCCATTAATTACAGTTAGTTAATGATGTCTTATCAGTGTTTCACCACTAGGGGGCCTCCTGCAACCTGCTCACGCTCCATGAGCCTGTTTGTATGGCAGTTCCCTACCCGAGCTGGCCGAAGGCGATGTTCTCATCGATTTTGGAGCTGTCGTCTCTCTCCTCCTGGGTCATATGACACCACTTCTCCCTGCAGCACAGAGAGTCGGTCTTTAATTCCTCCTGACCTTCAGCTCCTCCACAGAAACAGAGCAGGGCTGGGCGTCAACAAGCATCACCTGTCAGCCTGCCGCCATGCTGACCACAGGCGGCACGAAAAGCCACAAAACGCTGCAACGTCTTAACATAATCTGTGAGCCTTAGAGGCTGAAAAACAGCTCGATAAATATTTAACAAAATAAATCAATGACATCCAGCCCTGGAGCTCTTTCTGTGACGGGGGAGGAGGGGGCAGATATTCCATCACACAGAAAAACACGTGAAATGACATGAACGGCACATGAACCAGCCATCAGCAACAAAATACAACAAATGATTCGTTCACGAGGAATCATCTTTGTCAACAAGCACACGGAAAGCACCGGCTTCACTGGAAAACAACCTGGAAATGTTTTCATGCCTGAAATCACCACCAACGACACAAACACGTTGTTATTATTATTAGTATTGATGTGCTGGATGGTGTGGATCCTTTCCTGCCTTGAAATCTGGCTTTCAGGTGAAGCAGTAGGCTGATTAAATTACCTTAAATTAGGTTAACAGGCTTATTGTTGTTAACGGGGCACCTCAGGGCTCCGTCCTGGGTCCTCTTTCATTCCCTCTTTAAATAATTAGAGGTGGATGATAAAGCTGTGCAGCGTCGATCACAGAGCCCCGTCATAAACTACTATTTAATATTTAAGAGTGTCAACTGAAGCTTATTTTGAATGCAGACAAAAATTAACCCTCTGAACTGAAATTTTATCTCAAATTTGACTCGTCATTGAAAAAGCAGGTCGTCCCTCAATATCCTTTTGAATATAATAAAGGGTCAATAAATACTATGAGTATTCTTATACTTACTATAATAATAATAACAATAATATTAATTGTTATTATTATTCTTATTATTTATAATACTTTTATTATTATGTATATACCCTTTATAATACTCAAGAGACACTGAGGGGCGATGTGCTTTATAATAATAATAATAATAATAATAATAATAATAATAATAATAATAATAATAATAAATTTCCTTTTCGTGCCAATGTTTGTGTATCAAATTGTCCAAAAATAAATGAAAAAATAATAAAGTAAAATTCAAGTCATTATTATAAAACAATGTTGATAACAGCGCTTTATGTCTAAAGTGGTATTTTTAAAATTACATCGAGAAAATAAAAGGTGACAACTTGAACTGACTAAATGACATGTACGAAAAAAAACCCTGAAAAAAATGATGGAATAAAATATATATCATTAATATATAATACATATATAAAAATGTGAAATTAAACTCAAATAACATTTCCTAACAATGGGTTGCATTTTAGCAATTACTACAATTATTTTAGGGAAAGACTGTTTACATTTCTATATTTTCTAAACTGTATTAATGTGCTTCATAATGTTATTTTATAAATTTCTCTCCCTGCTTGTATTTTGTTAATCTTCCCTCCATTTATTATCTGTTTGGGTTATAACAATAAAAATAATGTTTTGCAGTCCAGTTTTTGTTTTTATGGCTGATTATTTAGCATCTTAACATCCCCCTTTGACTTGTTCAAGTTAAATTTTTCATTTTAATTTCAATTAAATTTTCACAAAAAGGGGAAAAAAATTGCAGACAAAGGCTGGATGATGAGAATATAAATCAATTATTTTATATATTTAATGTTTAATTTAAACAACAAAATGTAACATACATAAAAAAAAATAAAAATAAAATGGAGTGAATTTTGATATTTGTCAGAAGCGGTTAGTTTTGACATCACACAGTGTGTTTACTGAGGCAGGAGTGAAAACAAAGAAGCAGCTGGTGAGTCTGACTGTCGGCGTCACATCCCAGCATCCAGTCTGCAGCGGGAACACGGGAGAGACGGTAAAACAGGAACATGCAGGAAAAGAAAGACACGTGTTGCGAGCAGATTAATGGCGTGAACGTGCAGCGAGCTGTGAAGAAGCACCTTCAGACGGCTGCTGTGGCCGCGATGCAAAAACCCCCCAGAAACCCCACGCGAGTCACATGACAACATGCCGACAGAAGCCAAACACAGAAAGCACCGAGTGTGAAACTCATAATCCAATTAGATTTACAAGCAACGCCACATCTGATTCTTTCTCCTGCTGCGATTAAGCAGATTAGATCTTTTAATTCATACACAGCGGCAGCGGCAGCAGCAGCTTCACACTGCGGTCTGGAGGATTCACCGCTTCCCCTCCGCTCGCTGCTCACCGGAGCGGATCTGATGCTCGGCCCTCGACCCTCCACCTCCAGGCCGAGCTGCTGCCCCTTTAACCCTCGTCAGCAGCCATTTTCTGCCATAAATCACGTCCCTCAGAGCTTCATTTCATCTCCACAGATTCTCCTCTGACCTCTGACTCATCCCCGTTTCACCAGAACAATCAGCCTGAACCAAAACACCGATGCTCATTACGAACCTACAACCAGATTACATTTGACTATATGTAAACGTGACGCGATCCCTGGTGGAGATATTCACGGATATCAGGATTTGTTTTGCAAATTAGAACCGTGTGATGGACGTCACATCGACAGGAGGAGCAGAAGTGAGTAAAACCTCCAACGTGACGCTCATTTAATAGAAAATCAACCAAAACCGTCACTGAAATGTCGGATTATTTACATTTATTTAAAAGAAAACTGCCTCATTTTAGATATAAAATCAACCAAATCTAGAGAAACCTCATCAGAATCAGCAACTTTAGTACATTAATGAATAAATTCAGAGTTACTGGACTTGTTTTATGTATTTATTAGGCTCTTAATGGGATTTATTTTACTCACTGAACTTGAAAAGTCTAGTTTAACTCCTGCAAACTGGAAAAACAATCAAATTAAAGCAATTAAAGTTTTGAATTTAATCCTGTTTAACTTCCAGCTGCTTTTCTCTTGTTATTTTTTTTGTTTTTGAACTTAAATGCACTAATTAACGACATTTAATATTTTATTGTTATCCATGTTTTTGGGTTGTTTTTTTTTTACTCTGCTGCTTTGTGCTCTGATTTTAAATAAAAGTTGAATTTTAAAATGAAGTTTGGGTTGAAACTTCATGTTTTATGAGTCATAATATTTTTAAAAATAATTTCTAAACCTCATAACGTCTTAAATTCAGAACTAGAATCTGCTGCAGCCTGGTGGAACTGAACAATTAGCTGATTTTAAATTTACATCTGAAGCAATTAACAAACGGCAAAGTCTGCAATTTAAGAATCAGAATTAGTTTTTTGGCAATAAAGTTGTGAGATTTTTAAAAGCAGATAAAAAGATTTAAAAGAAAGCAGGTGCTGCAGTTTAAACAAACAGCAAGTTTAACAAATCCAAGAAATTTTAAGGAATATAAAGCAATAAAAACACGAACAGTCTGCAGGAATGTGCAGAATTATGGTGCTCCTTATATTATTATTACTATTTTTATTTTATTTAAATCAGCAAAATATGCTTTAGAGGTTTATTAGTAGTTTTTAAGTGTAGTTTAACTGTACAATATGCTGTTATTTTACAGATTTCAAAGACAATATCTGGTAAAATCAAAGAAGAAAACGATTAATTCACACGTTGACTGTATGAAATAAAACACGACAACATTCTGAACATTGTCCACGTCATAAATCTGTATTTTTATAAATTTAATTTGTTCTTTTACTATTTTTACTGCATTTAAACCAGCAAAAATATTATTTTACAGATATTTCTCATTATTCGAAAGAGAAAAAAAGTATATTAAAGGTTAAAAAATGGTAAATAAGTTAAATTATTTGAAAGATTTTTTTAATTTTGGTAAATTAAAGATAATAATTAGTAAAATAATGGGGAAAGAACCCATTAATCTGCATGTTTACCATGAAGAAATGAGGCAAAACTGTAAATTAGTTGAAGGAGTTAGTACACGTGAGTTTAAACTGTCGCATCAGAAGTTTTACAAAATCCTGTCGTCCTCCTTGTTTAAAATCACGTCTTTATCACGTTTTAAATCTATTATAACGTGAAACCTGAGCCGAGGACACATCTGTCAGAGAAAACAGGCCTAAAAGTCGACATTTTACTCCCCGATGTTGGCTCTGTTTCTGTTTAAATACGTATATTTAAACGACTCAGGAGTCTGACACAGCTGCACACATCTGCCCTCCACCTCCAGCCATGTTTTTAGTTTTTAGGGCAAACAGAGGGACAGACCTCTCGTCTTTGTCCTCGTCCTGCGTCCTTCTGCCCGGCAGCGAGGCACAAGGAGACAAAAGGGTTAAAACGCAGAGAGAGGCAGAACAACCACAAGAGAGGAAGGAGAAGGAGAAGGAGAAGAAGGAGAAGAAGAAGAAGAAGAAGAAGAAGAAGAAGAAGAAGAAGAAGAAGAATCACTGCAAACCTTTATTGGTGCTGCACAGAGACGAGGCAGCGGGACGACAGAGACTCACCTGGTGGTCGGAGATCTCTTCTTCCTCTCGCAGTGGACGGCGTCGAAGAACGCCGCGTTCCAGAACCTCAGCGTGTGCCTGCAGAGAACCGGAGAGAACGACGGAGGCTCGTTAAGCTGCAGGTTAAACGTCGACGTCCAAAAAAGGGACGAATGTGGAGCGACGACGTGACTCAGATCAGCTTTTAAAGGTCTCGTATTAGTCAGTACTGAAGAAAAATAAGTGAATTTAGAGTTTGTTTTATCCAACGTCTGCATCTAGAACACAGACGTCAGGAGATAGAACCCTGCTGTTTAGCCAGATTCCTGCAAAACAGTAATTTAATGCACTAAAGTAATCATAATAATAAAATGCATTTAACCACGAATCTGAAGCGGCGCAAATAACAAACTGCAAAAAGCTGCATTTCAGATTTAGAATTATTTTTTTTTGGCAAGTAGGTTTAAACATAGAAGGAACTTAATGTGGTGGTTTAATGAGATTTTTTTAAATATAAAAGGATAAAAAGATTTAAAAGAAAGCAGGTGTTACAGTTTAAATAAACGGCAAGTTTAACAAATCCAAGGAATTTTAAGGAATATAAAAGAATAAAAACACGTGCAGGCTGCAGGAATGTGCAGATTTATGGTGTTCCTTATTTTATCACTATAATTTACTGTATTAAAATCAGCAAAAATTAGCCTGAGCAGTTTATTTAGATTGAAATTATTTATATTTTATGCAACATACAGTGTGGTTTCCACAAACTGTAAAAAATAAAGTTTTTTTCAAAACAATTTACTGTTATTTTACAAATTTTCCCTGTTCTGTCAAATTAAAGAGTAAAAATCAAAGAAGAAAATGATGAATTCACCTGTTTACTGTATAAAATAAAACATGACAACACTGTAAACACTGTCCACGTCAGAAATCTGTAGTTTTATTTATTATTTATTATTTAATTTGTACCTTTATGGTGGTTAACCATAAAATTCCACTTTTTTTTAGTGTATTTAAATTAAGCAAAAATATTATTATTTGACCAATTTTTCCTCATTATTGGAAAAACAATTTATGTACATTAAGGACTGAAAAATGTTTTTTTATTTTTTTTTTAAGTATTAGAATTCTATAATATAACTTTATTGGCAAAATTTCTAAACGCAAACAAGGAATTTGACGCCAGTGAATCTGTGTCCAGTAACTAGAAAAAAATGAAATGAAATGAAAAATATTTTATTTATTTATCCCAGAAGGGAAATTCAATAAAAAATAAAATAATAATAATATAATATATATAATATAATAATAATAAAATAAAACAAATATTCAATAAATAAATATTAAATAATAATAAAATAAAATAAAATAATAATAATAATAAAAACAACAACTAAGGATTAAAAATAAAGCTGACGAGTAAAGAAATAAACTAATTAAACAATAAAAATAAGAGCTATTGTTTTATTATTTTGCAGATTTCTTAGAACCAGGTTTATGGACTAAAGCCTTTCATGCATAAATAAAAACAGCCTTGATGATCTCACCAGATGGGCTGCTGCTTCAGGTGAGTGTACAGGTAAACCTTCTCTCCTTTCTTTTCCTCCGGAGCCTCTGACACTAGAGAGCAACAGAGAACACGATTCGTTTCCACTTTACATTAACAATAAGAAGCCTGTAGGATCCAGACGTACCCGGAGACTTGGGCTTGGCCTCCCCTGGACCCTCTGCAGCCATGGAGCTCCTCAGCTTGCTCTCCAGACCTCCGAAGAAGCCCTTGACGTCGGTCTTGGACGTGTTCTTGAGGAGGCGCTCGGCGGCGTCCTTCTTCCCCGTCAGCCAGGAGTTGGCCTTGTTCAGGTACGAGTCCAGGCCGGCCGGAGGACCGCCGCGGTCCAGCAGCTCCGACGGCGACGGCTGGGATTTACCTGCGGAACCAGAAACCTTTAACGTGATGAAACGGCAGCTACCTGTTCAGCTCCAGAGGAAGGCGAGTCACTCAGGTGAGTCCAGAAAACACGCAGCTGCTTTAAGTTCTATTGTGTTTTTGTCACATCATGTCAGTCCTGCTTCTCTCTTCATTGTTTTTTTAACTAATTTTAAGATGTTTTCTGATCAATTTTAAACCTTTAAAGACATTTTAGTCGCCACATGAGCTTTAAAACTTCAGATTGGTCCAAAACTAAACCCTAAATCTAAAGATGAGGCTCACAGAACCACAGATACCATTAAAATCCATTTTTACAGATTTGCTCTCCTGTAATTTTTAGATTAGTTGCTTTTATTTGTAATATTTACGTTGACATTTTACATTTTTGTGTCTTTCTGTCGTCTTGTTTTAACTTCTCAGCGTCTCAGTGTTTTTCACCACAACATAAAGTCCTGCATCACAGTTATGATGTTTCACCATCAGCTGGATGTATCGTCCAACCACTCGCTGCTCTGTTCTCTGTTTCTGAGACATCTATTGTGCGTTATTGTGGTATTTTTTTCATTTTATGTGGTTGTCTTGTCTCTTTATGATCATTTTGTGTCTCAATTTTGTCGTTTTGCGTCCTGTTTTTCTTGTTTTCTGTCTGGTTTGTGTCGTTCTGTGTCCCGTTTTTGTCGTTTTCTATCTTGGTTTTGTCGCTTCATGTCTTTTTTTTTATGTCCTTGTGGTCATTTTGTCTCCACAAATTACAGATATTGAACTATCTCCGTGTTTCCAGACGTTTCCTCTCTACTCTGCTCATCAGCTGTAGAACGATGTTCCACCATCAGATGGATGTATCTCCAACAACGTGCTCCTCTGTTCACTGTTTCTGAGCCGTGCTGCTTTTATTTATTGATCCAGTCGGTTGGATTTTCCTCTCAGTCTCTCTGAGGAAACACTTCCTGCAGTTCATCCTGGAAACTCTCTGGATTTTCATGGCGTGACTTCTGGTTGTCTTTTAAACAACATGGTGGAACTGGTTTGACTTTTTTTTTTTTATTTAAATAAGACAAATAGAAGTAAAGCAAGGCTCACAAAAGGGCACGACTTATTTTCGGTTATTTTTCCTGACAAAAGCAAACGTCACATGTGATGAGTTAAAGGACTGAAAGTTATAATCTTGGTGAATTTTTTTTTAAAGATAAAACGCCATTCAAACCCGCCGGTTTGGACCCGAGCTGGCTGCAAGAACGCAGAATTTTTTGCTTTTAATATCATCTGATAACTGCAAACTGTTTATTTCTGGCTAATTTTTTAAATGCCACATGCAGAAATAAAGACATTTTGATGAATTACCACCATTTTAAAACTTTAGATTTAGTTAATTTCCCCAGTGGAGCTACACATTAAGCATGATACGTTCAGGGACTGAATAAAAGTAAAAAACATCAGACAAATCTTCTGCTTTTTACAGTTTCTGGCTCTGACAAATGATTTTTTAAATAGATAGCATGTCTTTAAACCCAACCAGTGGGTTTAGTTGCTCAGAGGGCGAATGTCTTCATTATTCCTCACTTTGTTTGGCTCCCTGCTGCTCTTTTTCCTTTTGGATATCCAGCTTTTGCTCCGTCTGTTGCAGCACGTTGTTGTTTGTAAAACCTCTAAATAAATAGAGTTTTGTGTGAAGCTGCCTGCAGGTGAGCTGCGGGTGTAAAGCCGATATTAGCGGATGTTGATGGCGGTACGATCGCTCAGCGCTTCCTGCTTGCATCAGCACAAACTTCTCTTTGCGGCGCTGCAGAAGAAAAACCACGAAGCCAAAGCGACGGTCCCTGAATCAGCAGCGAGAGCCGAAGCTCTGCTGCAGTCAGGAGCCGCTGTCTGGTTCAGACAGAAGGTTGGACGGCTGATTGTGATGCGTTCAGTGGAGCGGATCTTACCGATGTAGTAGTAGGTGAAGCACATGGTCATGAGGTTTTTGGCCGGACTGTAGTCGTCCATCTGGTAACACCTGCGAACACAACAACCGCCGATTCTGTCAAACAGCTGAAGCCTCGAGCCACAAAGAGAGGATCAGAAAACAGGAGTTATGAGCATCTAGAGCCTCGAAATGATCGTTGTGCTGCACAGTCGCTTTAAAAACTATTAAAAACACATCAGAGAGCTGCAACGTGCAGCTCCAACATATAGATTATTACACAAGAGTGCTTTTATGCATCTTAGAAAATATTTAAACGTCTCAATAAAAATCCTTCTGACTGAGTTTTTAATAATATTTTATTCTACGTTTGTTTTGTGAAACTATTAGTATCATAATTTTTGCATTTTTAAAAAATGTTTTAATTTGTTGATAATTTTTTTGTCTTTTACGTTTCTGTTGTGTATATATCTGAGACAAACAATATAAATTATAATTGAAGAAAAAATATTTTTTTATTGTAAAAAACTGTAGAAATAATTTTAAAGATTATTACATTTAATACATATTAAATATATTATTATACTTTGAAAAAAGTGTATTCATTATTTTAAAAATATTAAAACAAATAGAAGTTTTTAATAAATATACATTTTTAATAAATCAGTGCAGAAGTGAAGCGTATGTGCATGGTTTTATTTTTTATTTTTTTAATAAATTGGATATCTGGGGGATTTAAATTAATTTATAAGTGGTATGTGTGTTGGTTTCTATTTATTTCTTTAAAAAATAAAATATATAAATATATGAAACAATCATTTTATTTAGGAAATTACAGAAACTAAACTTATTTTCGTCATCAAATATTTTTTCATAATTCAAATTTTCATATAGTTTTACATTCTGCTTTTACTCTATCATAAATTTGTTTTTGTTTTTTCCAATAACAACTTATTTCACGTCATGTTTTTATTCTTATTTTCATGTCAATTGACATATAATAAATTTAAAACTGTGTCCGTGGTCTCCTTGTGCAGCGACGCTCGGCTCCCGGTGCTCCTGCAGCTCTTCAGACGCTCTCTGGGAGTCCTGTTATGTATATTATTCTTAAACACCATCTGTGATCTGGATCTCCTGAACTGTGTCAAAACCGCGACGCGTCAACTTGAATTTCATTTTGAGGGGGAAAAAAAAACAGAGGTCGCGAGAAGTTCACTTCCTGAACAGATTGCACCGCGACGAAGGGGACGACAAAAAAAAAAAGGTTAAGAGAGAAAACATTTAGGAGCTTCTCTTAAACATTTTTCCCCTTTAGAGCTCAGATAAACTCAACATCTGCTCCAAAAATGAACAATTTGCTTCTGTTTGAACAGCGTTTGATAATAAATTCTGTATTTGTGATGCGTTTTTGACAGATTTGATTCTTCAGAAGGAGCCGAGCGTGTTGGATTTTTCTTTTCAGGGTTAAGAACAAACATGAACACACTCATGGATTATTTCATATCTTTGAACCACTTTTAGAGAAAAACACCAAAAACAAACTCACTCAAACAGAACAACAGCGAACGACTGGACCAGCCGGTAGAAGGTGGCTTCGCTCACACACTTGGAGTGGCAGCGCTGCAACGACAACAACAACAACAACAACAACAACAACAACAAACATCAGTTAACCAGCAGGTTTTATGGATCTATAATCATTAATATTCTCTATTTAAGGCGTAATAACATCACAGAGCAAAAGTTAGTGGTTTAATTTATGCAACTCCATAAAAAAAACACCTTCAAATGCACAGTTATTTAAAAAAATAATAGATTTTGTTGTTTATTTAGACATTTTACCCACATATATTTTAGTTTTTTTTTTGCAGATTCTGAATTTAAACATCTAGAATAACGTGTGCTTGATGAAAAACTACAATTTTAAAGTCAGATTTGGGTGTTTTGATGTAATTGTACGTGATTAGTTCAAATAAATCCAAGGATTCTTTCTCTTTCTACAGTTTCTGGCTGATAAGTAGTGAGATTCTGGAGGATATCTTATTAACTACGAAGCAGCAGCAGCTCTGCTAAACCTCTAATCTCACATATTTGCAGCGTATCAGTCTAAACAAACTGCAGACGTCTGCGTGCAAACATCAGAGCGACACAGATAAACTTCTTTTATGAGATATTTTGGATTTGCTGTAAACACGTTTCTGCGGAAGAGACAGATTTTATGTTCTCACACTTTAAAAGATGAAAGTTATGAAGCTGTGAGATGAAGCTTTAACTTGTAAATCCAGGTTTCAGATCTTGGTGGACTCTGACAGACTCCTGCTTCCCTTCTGAACTCTTTGCTTCTGGACTATTCCTCCTGTAAAGGTCACGTCCGAGCGGCCGGGACTCACCTGAGCGCTGACGTACTTGGCGAACCACTCCCGGCCTTTTCCGTTCTCTCCGCCGCACAGCTCTCCAAATCGAGCCTTCTCCTCCTGGTCAAAGTCCTCCCTGAGAAAACAGCACACGGCGATACGAGACCTGTGAAAACTCGCAGCTGTTTAATAACAACAAACTTCCGTATCCGACGGACGACCTCCAGCCGCTCACACCGACGTTTAGTCAGTGGAGAAAACTCAAACATGCACGAATGTAAGTTTAAATTGACTGAAAATGGTCCCAAAGGTACAAGAAATTAAACAATATTGGTACAAAATGCAAATAAATTCTGTATTTAGTTGTGTGAGAAGCAAAGCTGACTGCAGTTGTTCACACAGATACTGAAATTAAATCTGTAATCTCATTTTTAAAGTTGACTTTTGGTTCAATATTTACTGTTTAATACATTTTAAAGTCTGAGAACTGAAGCTCAGGTCGGCTGGTGTTATTTAAGTCGCTTCTAAAATAATTTTTAAAAAAGTCTTTAACAGGCTTTTTACCTGGATTTTATTTGAAATTAAAATGAATACAGAAATCAAATATAATATATTGTAAAATCACAAAAACGTAGTAAAATTATTGTTTTAATACATTTATTCTTTTTAACATTTGACTGTAAAATTACACTATTTTTACTTTATTAAAACCAGTAAAAATGTTGTAATTTTACAGATAAATTCTGTTATTAGATTAAAAAAGTATATTAGTGTTTAAAAAACAGAATGAAAAAAATATTATTTTACAGATTTTCACAGTTTTGTTAAATTACAGATAATGTTCATAAAAATCACAGAGAAAAAATTGCTTCATTGTAAAAAAAAAAAAAAGACAAACTGTATTTTTATTTTTATAAATATACTTTGTTGATTTAAAACATTAGACTGTAAAATTACTCTATTTGACTATATTTAAATCTTTAAAAATATTATTATGTCACAGATATTTGCTGTGGTTAGAAAAAAATCTGTATACAAAAGATTGAAAAATAGAAAATAATTTTAGACAGTTATTTTACTTTTTTTATTTTTACTGTTTGTTAAATAATAGATCTTGTAAAATCCCAGAAAAGAAATTTACATGTTGATTGTAAGAAATTAAAGAAAAGAAAACTGGACAAAACTGTGATTAAAGTTCATATTAAACTTCTGTATGTTCCTAAATAGTATTTTTTTAAAAAGTGTTTAACCAATAAATTACACTGGTTTAGTGTATTTAAATACAATAAAAAACACCAATATTTTACAGATGTTTACTGTTATTTTCACCATTTTTTACAAGTTAATTGTTGACGTACCTCTTTTTTGTGTGTGTGTGTGTAATTTTTTCTGGCAGATCTTTTTTTAATTTACTTATTTATCTGGTTTTAAGTGCAGCATGTTTTCCATCTTTATTCTTTTTACTGCGACAGAACAGGGTGACTAGAAACCCACTAACGGGATCATGAAGCTAACGAAGGACGACCGGTCTGTCCTGGAGAAGGCGAGGAGGTCGGAGGTCGACTCAACTCAGAGGATGTAAATTCATTGTTTGGGTCTGTGGGTCAGAACCGGACGGAGAAACAGAACTCAGGAGGTCAGACGTGATCAGACCAGCAGCTGAAACAAGCTAAAAAAAAAAAAAAAACGTCTGTGATGTTAAATAGAAGAGAAATCTGATATTTCGAGGCGACCTTTAGACATTTCACCTCAGTGGAGTTATTCAGGGTCTCAGGAGGTGAAAACGTGGAGATGTTTGGACGTTGATCAGACGTCCCTAAGCCAACCCTAAACCAGTCAGACCACCAGCTGCACGTGTCTCACCGACCTGTTGCTGCTCACTGAGCGTCTGAACAGTGTCACAAACAGAAAGAGCTCATCGGAGAACAACAGCTCCTCCGTTCATCAGAGGCTCGAGGTGGAAATTTACTCAGACTTTGTCCTCCGGCTGCTCTGACATGGAGGTGAAACTGCTGCTGCTGCTGCTGCATGTGGTCACGTAAGTAAGTCTGAGAAACCAAACTTAGCTTCTCACAAAACCACAGACATCCGCAGCATCAAAACTCAGAATATCTGCATCCACACTTTGATGAGCAGAATGTAAAACCTGCTGGAGGGTTTGAAAGGAAACGTACTGAAAAAATAAATAAAAAGGCAAAAAAACACCATTTATCAGCTAGAAACTGTAAAAACCAGACAGAATTGTCAGAGTTTCCCCTTTCAGACAGTCCTTGAACTACTCATCTGTGACGAAACCAAATCAAATGAGCTTAAAATCACATTTCAGTCATTATTCTACGTGTCTCAATTTAAAAACTTGCCCAAAATATACCGTATGCCCAAACCACATTCTGTAAAAAACAAAAAATTCTGCTCTCATTTGTGCAAACATGACGCCATGACTGATTCAGGTGTGACTGACAGTTGTATAACAAATATTCAAAGAGTTTTTAGGTTGACCTGCAGGCAGCGTTTCCACAGATTAGTGAGGACAGGCAGGTTTGAGAAGCATCATACTGGAAAAAAAACTGTTAAATTACATCATTAATCAGGCAGAAACTATTAAAAACCAGAGAGAATTTTCATTTTTCAGATTGTCCTTGAACTAATCATCTGTGACGTTCTGTTCTGTCGAAAAATTAACCAAACCTGAGCTTAAATTCATGCTATTTCATCAAAATCCCTTCATTCTACATCACTGAAAAATGTGCAAAAAATAAATGGTTTGCTGGAACTAAATTCTGTAAAAAACAAAAAATTCTGCACTGCTGTGTGCAAATATGAAGCTATTAGAGACTCAGCTGTGACCAACAGTCACGTGACAAAAATTCTGGGAGCTTTCAGGTTGAACTGCAGCCAGTGATTCCAGAGCAGAGCAGTGAAGACAAGAGTATGGCAGGTTTGAGATGCATGTTTCCTGACTTACAAAAAAACTGCAAAATTACATCATTAATCAGGCAGAAACTATTTTTAAAAAACTGAGAGAATTGTCAGATTTTCATCTTTCAGATTGTCCTTGAACTAATCATCTCTGACATTCCGTCCCGTCCAAAAAATTTATTAAGTTTAAGCTCAAATTCTTACTATTTCATTAAAATGCCTTTATTCTACATGTCTCATTAGAAAGCTTGCTAAGAAGAAATGGTTTGCTCGAACTAAATTCTGTAAAAAACAAAAGATTCTGCACTGCTCTGTGCTAATATGAAGCTATTAGAGACTCAGCTATGACCGACAGTCACGTGACAAAAATTCTGGGAGTTTTCAGGTTGAACTGCAGCCAGTGTTTCCTCAGAGCACGGAAACAAAATTTAAAAACTAAGTAACAAAATATTTAAATTCAAATTCTACAAAAAAAAAAAAAACCTGCACCAGATTCTGGAAAGAATAAAAAATAAAAGCTCAGCTCCTTGTTGCAAAGATTCAGGATGTTTTTGATTGAACTGCAGGCAGTGTGACACCTTCAACAAATCATAAACATAACTACTAAATATCTACAGTATGTAGAGCCATAATTTATTTTCAAATTAATATTGCTAACACCTCTGGAGCCTCGAAAAAAAAAAAGGTGCAAGTGTGGATTCCTTTTTTTGTTTGTTTGTTTTTGTTTTTTTTGACGAGGACGACGACCTCCTCAGATCCCAGGTGTGAGACGGCAGGTCCATGTTGTTTTGTTTTGGGTTTTTTTTGTCTAATAAACAATTAAAGAAATTCAACTTGTGTTTATTTTTTTAATGATTTCTATATTATCCTGCACAGAACATATTCCTGAGTTCTCTCTCCTTCTTCATTGTGTTTCCATCGAGGTGCTAGACTTCATGTTGCAGTAAAAAATTAGCCCACAATGAAGAAAAATGTGACGTGGAGCAAGAAAATGCCCAGAATCTTGCTTGATCTGAGTTCAGGGGTTTAATTTGAGATATTGCAAAAGGACAGAGTAGTTTTGTTAAACTGAGGAAGATTAAAGATATCTTAGACTAATGATCAGTCATATTCAAACTGTAGATGTCATGAAACACATGAACGCTCCTTATTACTGTAAAGACCTGAGCGACAGACATCTGCACTGTGTATCTGGTCCAGACATGTTTAAATAATCACGGTTCTGGTCTGTTTGGGTAAAACCAGAACATCTTATAGCAGCAGATAAAAGACAAGGAGGACGAGGCCTGTCTGATGAAATCATGAACGTCGTGCATCCTCAGGAGCCATAATTAAAGAAAGACAGCGACAAACAGTCACGTGTTTCGCTATCAGCGCCGCTTAACCGACATTTAACGTGCTCTGAGACGAAGGACACCTTCAGCCTCCATCTACGAGGCGATGGCTACCGTCCAGCAGCACGACATCAGCAGAGGAGACGTCTGCAGCGTCCTGCTCTGGACTCCATGTTCCTGCATCTTCCAGGACAGTTTCAATGACATCAGGCCGTCGTGTGAGACAGGAAACCTGAAGCACTCATGTTAATTTACAACATGTGTTTACAGGGCTGTTAGGATATTTTCAGGCTTTGAAGTAAAAAAATCACATTATTTTTGTCCTGCTGGACCTCGTCGCTCCTCTTTAAAACCCCTTAAATTTGTCAATAAATGATGTTTTTCTACTGATATAATGATTGTGTTCTTCAAAAATATTATTTTAAAAGACAATCCAGATTTGTCCTCACTCTGGATTATTTTTTCTCTGCAGCAAAACAAAAAAACCACGAAGAAGGAGAGAGGATTTCTAAATATTTTTGTACAAAACAACACCATTAATGCTGGATGTATCTCCAACAAGTGGCTGAGCCGTGCTGTATTTATTTGTTCATCCAGTAGGTTTTATTTCCTCTCTGTGGAAACACTGCCTGCAGTTCAACCCGAAAACTCTCTGAATTTTTGCTATTTGACTGTTGGTCACAGCTGAGTCTGTCTTGGCTTCATGGTTGCAATAAGACGTGTAGAATATTTTGTTTTTTATAGAATCTGTTTATGTCAAAGGGTTTAATTTTTGCGAATTTGTACGCAACATAATTAAATTTGTTAATGTTTTTTTTTTTCCAATGGAACCACGCGAGTAGTTCAAGGACTGTTGGAAAGTAGAAAATTTCAGTTTTTACAGCTTCTGGTCGATAAATGGTGTCATTTTTGGCACTTTATTTAAAAGATAACACGTCTTTAAAACCTGGGGAATAAACTAAATATTATCGAAATCAATTAAAATCACAGGAACTGGATTTTTTAAAAATTAATTTAAAATCTGTCACAAAAAAACATTAACTATGAGGCTTCACGTTGCTGCAGAGACGCTCCAGACTATAAATCAGATTCTCCAGATTTAGAGAATAAGCAGCAAAAATCTAGCTGTCGTTTTTACGCTAGTTTTAGCGGGAAAGAAAAATGTAAAAATTGCGCCAAAAACTGTGACCCGTATCATGTTACAATGTGTTGAGCAGGACAAAATCAAAATGGCCGCCCCTTACTTTCCGTGGAACACCTTCTCCACGTAGGCCTTCATGAACTGCCTCCGCTCCACCGCCTCGGCGTCGGCCTCCTCCCCGCTGTGGTTGGACGAGGACGACGACCTCCGCAGCTCCCAGGCGTGGGACGGTGGGTCCATGTCGTTCTCGCTGTCCGCCGACTCGGTGGCGTCGCTGTCTCCGTCGTCTCCGTGGTGATGGTGATGGTGGTGGTGGTGGTGGGACTTGGTCGGCGCCATCGGCTCCGGCAGTAGCGGCTTCTGGTGGAGCCCGGCGGACGACGGCGGCGGCTCCGGGGAGAAGATGTCGGCGTGTCCCTGGTGCTGAGAGGCGTCGACGCTCAGAGTCGAGGCCTCGGACGGCAGGTCAAAATCTATCAGGTTGTCCACGGCGACGCCCTCCATCCTGGACCGGTCTGGTTCTGTAAACGCTATTCGGTTATTCGGAGCTCCGCGGGAACATCAGGCTGCTGCTCACAGATGTGGGGAACAGCTGGAGGCCGCCGTCCTTACTGGAGCCGGACTCTGCAGAGCATCACACCCCCCCGAGGCTGCCGACCTCCGGTGAACTCAGGGACCCAGAGCATCTGGAGACGAAGCAAAATGGAAAATCAAATTAGCGTTTAGCAGCCGATTTACCAGAACCAGGAGGCAGCGAGAGGAGAACAGGAGTCTGCTGCTGTTAGAGGCTGCTACGAGCTAAATGCTAACATTAGCACGGTTAGCAGGTGTAATGTTCACAGTCTCACCTCAGTATGCTAACATGCTAACGGCTGCTAATTAGCAAGAAACACCAAGTGCACATTAAGCTTTAAAATTAAATAATTAATGGTTTTAAGCTGACTTTTAAAAAAAACAAAAAAAACAATTTACTGTTATTTTACAGATTTTTCATATTTTGTTAAATTAGTAAAATTATTTTTTAAAAAGTATTATTTGACACTCTAACAGCCAAAAAACAAAACAAAAACAAAAGAAATTGGTCATTTATGATTTTTAACCACCACAAAATGACATTTTATTGTATTTAAATCAGCAAAAGACATCATTCTTAAATCATTTTTAAACATTACAGATTTCCACTGTTTAAAAACTATTTTTTTCTGGTAGTTTTTCACCTTTTTTGACAGGATTTTCTTTTACAGTGTGGATAAAAAAAATTATGTGTTTTAAGGACTGAAAATGGTAAAATATTATGAGTATTATTTTTAAGCTATTTTTACATATTTTGCATTGTTTTTAAAATTACCAAAAAAGTATAAATGTAAATGTTGACTGTAAAAATAAACAAAAAACATATATTGTAATCATGACTTGTAGATTTAATGCTGTATTTAAATCAGCATATATCATTTTCTCTTCTTTTTTTTCTTAAAAGCAGATTTTCAGTGTAGTTTCCTTTTTTTCTTAACAGTTTTTAAACATTAAAGATTTGCACTTTTTTTTCTTTTTTTGAATGATTTTGTCCGGCATCCTTTGTACCAGAGTTTCACCCTTTTATTGGATTTTTAAAACATTTTCTGACCACTAGATGAATTAAAATGTTCAGTCTGCTGAGTTAAATCTGGATAATATATTTCCTATCATTCTGAAGCTGCTGATTCCTCATTGCTGTTGGTTAAAAACTCTTTGGGGGATTACAAAAAAAACACTTCCAGTTAATGCAGGAAAAACCTGCTTGAACCTCCTGAAGTCAAACCAGTTTCTGACGTAAACCTGCGACTAACGACTATTTTCGTTGTGGATGAATCCGTTAATTATCGGTGTTTCCTCAAAGCCCAACGCGAGAAATGTCTCGTTTTGTCCAAAGATCTTCAGTTTACCGTCACAGAGGAGGAAAGAAACCAAGAAGTATTCACATTTAAGAAGCTGTGATCAGAGGATTTAGATGATTTTTATTTTAAAAATAACTCCAAGTCAGTGATTGAATATAAAAACAGCTGCAGAGGAACTTATTAGATGACGAGCCATCGATTAATTGATGCAGCAGCTTTTATTGTGACAGAAATGAGATCAGCTGAAGAATTGAAAAAGACATATGTTGTGAAAAAAACATACCTGAGGTTATTAATTTCTCTGTTTCTTAACTTGAATCAAGCTTTAAAAGCCTTGATTAAAGCAGCGAATGTGAGAAAACGTGACGCTTTTAAACCTGCAGAGCACAAAAACCCACATTAAACTGACGAGGTGTGAAGACGTGTGTTCTGATCAGAGCAGGTTCAGCGCTGTGGCCTTAAAACAGGCTTCCTCCTCAGATAAGGCTGCGTTTCCCGGCAATAGGGAGATTTCAGACGAGATTAATTACAGCCAGGATTCCCTCTCCTGCGTATCAACCCTCCAGCAGGTTCTGTTGTTGCTCCCGTTTCATTTTTCTTCACTGTGGGTTCTTGTTTTACTGCCATATAAACTCAGAAATGACTTCTGACAGCGTTATCATGTTATAAACCATCACAAAAGTTGAATTTCTTTGACTATATATTCTACAAAAATGGAGGAAACCTTGAATCAACACGTTTACAAGTGTCCAGGGGTTACCAAAAACAAAAAGCATCTCACATACTACGGATATTTAACTACTTACAGTTTTAGTTTGGCCAAAAGGCGCTGAATTTTCATCATGTGACTGTTGGTCGCAGCTGACTCATTAATGGCTTCCCTGTTGCACAAAGGAGTCCAGAATTTTTTGTTTTTGACAGAATCTGGTTAAAGCAATTGTGATTTTTGTTAAATGAGACATATAGAATAATTTAATTTTATTCAAATATCACGATTTTTACACTTAACTGCTTGCTGAGTTGCTTCAGGAACATTAAAACAATAAATATCTGATGATTATTTCTGTTTTTGCAGCTTCTATCTCTGGTAAACACTGTCATTTTGGCATTTTTCTTAAAATAACGATGCTTTTTTAAGACGCTTTTGTGCAGAACCATCATTCCTCTGCAGCTTCAAAACCTCGAATTATGAAATCAGAGATGACTGCTCCCTCCTAGTTCCTCGTTACTCGCAGTCAGCACACGCCAGATAAAGGGAAGTCACAATCATTGATTAAAACCACAAATCTTAACCGTTGTATCTGATGATGCCGTTTCCCACAGTCTGTTGTGCAACTCTGCTCGGCTCCAGAACAAGTCGCTGGGCGGCAGACTCCCACTCGGGCCTTCCCAGGACTCCTCACCTCCTCCAGCAGCAGCATCCTTGGTCTGATCCCTGAGCTGATCCCGGTCTCCTGACTGGACTCACACAGATCCCACATTGTGAACACCAGCCGAGCCTCGGGCCGCCGGAGACGTTACGTAACGCAGCGTTTAGTGACGAAGGCCAACAAACAAAATCAGCCAGAGTGAAAAAGGCAAACGTGACGTAAGCAGCTGATCTCGTCACCTCCGTCAGGTTCGGCGCTCGAGGCTACGTGACCAAGATAAAAACGTTCAAGAGCCTCCGGAGTGTTTTCTTCTCTTCAGGCCTGTAAACTGTGAAAATGCACAAACATCCTTTTTGTTCTGTGATCATTGAGGATGGGCAGAGTTTGGGTCTGACAGAAACAACCGACATCATGAAGCAGGAACGACGTGTTGACACAGAAGAAAAACAACAACAAAGAAGCTAAAGGTGTCAACGTAGGCCGGCGTAGAACGACGGATCAACGATCATTTCACTGATAGAAATAAGAAAAGAGTTTGATAGAATCCCTAGTCTGAAGGTTCAAGTTTAGTTTGATGAACAAACTCCACACAAGATCCCTCCCTGCCTCGTAAACAAAAACTAAATCTGTAAAAATAAATAAATGTTGACAATCTGGCAGCAAAAAAATAAAATAAAATAAAATAGGGGAAAACTGTGGTGTTAAAAACAAAAAGTAAAAACTGTAAAAATACCAGCAAATATGTGTAAAACAATGATATTTTCAGCTGATTATGAATATATTATATTTTAAAATAAATAAAACAAATATATTAAAGTGTCATTTAAGGTGAAAAAAAATATATATACATATATATTTATTTTTTTCTATAAAACTATTTCTAGTATTTTTCTAATCCTTAATATTTAGATGTTTTTAATTATAGCATATATCTGTGAACTAATATTTTCTAAAATAAAATGTATATATATAAATACAGTAAAATATTGTAATTTTACGTTCACACATTGTAAAAGAACAAACTAGGATTTGTAAAAAAAAATAAAATTGACAGAAGAACAAAAAAATGTATATATTACATGTAAATATTGAATAAAGTTTTATAAATAAAAATATTAATTTACATGCTTACTGGAAAAAATGTCAAAAATGGAGCAAAGTCTACAATAAAAAATTTCCCAGGTTTGTAATTTTTTTAATTTTTGTTAAATTATGTTTGTGTGTAAAATAACACTGATTTACTCCATTTTAAATTTAGTACAAATATCATTATTTTACAGATTTTACAGGGAAAAAAGCATTTTAACATCATTCTACTATTTTTTTTTAAAGAACATTTTTGATACAGTTGCTTCCAGATGTTTTGTTTTTTTTGCAGGATTTAATTCTTTTGTTTGTTTGTTGTTGTTTTTTTACAGCGTACAGAGGAGGGCCACTAATCTGATCAGCTTCATTGACGACAGAGAACAGAGCCGTTTACACGTCAGAGTTTTGAACCGTGTACTGATTGTTTCCAGGGTTAAATCATCTCTCCGGGCTGCTTCCTGATGATTTAATGTGATTCCTTCTGTTGCAGCACAATCGTTGGTCTCAATGAAACTCTGTGAACCGGCGCCAGCATCACTGAGCATATGGGCCGCGGCGCTGGAAGGTGAAAGTGTCGCAGGACGCCGAGCAGCAGAGCCTCTCGGTCGGCGGCCTCCCGGTCGTGACTCCCGCCGAGGACGTCTGGCGGCGGTTCAGTGAATCAGCCGGCTGCAGAGAAACGTGGCCGACCAGACCCTCCCTCAGCCAGGACGGAGGGCTCCTCTGCTGCTTCATCCTCCTCCTCCTCCTCTTCCTCGCTGCAGAGGCCGGCGCTGTTACACAACGTCGCCCCGAGCTTCTCCCACCCCCAACACATACTTCATGCGGCAGAATGCAAAAGTGATAAATCAGCTTTTACTCTCCTGTCAGACGCGGCATTATGGGATATCAGTGCAGCCTTTTATTTTTTATTTTTCCACATTCCTGAGCAGCCTCAAGGAAGCAGGAACCAAAAACCCCGACCTGGGAATTCCCTGACCCGCAATCCTCTGGTGTCCTTGTGCAACCTGAGAGGTTCGCTTGTTCGGTGTTCCCATTATTGTGTCACCAGAAGCGAAGCCTCTCCTGAGCAAACAAGGCTGCTCCTCCCTGTGAGCAACTCTAATCTTCATCTTTCTGCTCACATTCGGTGTAAATTTCTACTAGATTTAAACAGCGTGAATTATGAATGACTCAACAGGAGCCTTCATCTTTCCCTTACCAATAATTTGTTTGTTTTAGGCGTCGACTGGTTCTTTCCAGGCTGAGACAGATTATGATTGATGAACGCGATCGATACTCTCCAGAAAAAACTAAATGCTCGTCGTTAAAGCTTTGAAAAAACTGAAACTGCAATTCAAAACTTCATTAAAATGC